TTCATTTCACCGATTCGAGTTTTGCTACAGTAAAAAACTCTTAGAAACATTCACATCTAATTTTTTTATTACAGTAAAAAGCTCTTACATAAAATCATATTTCAATTTAAATTAAAAACTCGAATCAGTGAACTAAACGGGTCCTTATCTTGTGTTGTGTTTACTAATTCCCTAACTTTGCTTCAAGATTAAGATACGGTATATATCAATGTTTTTCTTCTGTTCTCATTTTTAAATTACTATTTTAAAATTGCTAATACATTGAATTAATGACATTTAGCCACTTAAGGCTAACTCAACAGGTTAGATGTGTGTGCGTGTGGTTTAAGATTCGAATTCTGATGGTATCATTTTTTTTTTTTAACATAATAGGACTCATAAGCTCTATATCGTATAAAAAAAATAGTGACATTTAACTTTAAAAAAAAAAACTCTAGATAGAAAACAAATAAATACAGAAAAAGCTCTTTATAGGAAATTATTATCGAACCTGCAAGAAATGTTTAAGATGTTGAATCACAAATTGTTCGTAGCTGGGCACAGTAAAGATCTTTCTTCGCATTGGTAAAGTAAAGTAGTTGACAACAAAGTCATTTGTTCCAGCGCTAATCAGGAAAATTGCCTTCTTGATATGATCTTCTGTTTGTTGCTTCCCAATTTCTAATTCAATCCTCTTCTTGTACTCTTTGAAATATTCCAGTTGCTTTAGTACTGGAATCACATTCTGACATACATGCAAATTGCAAAATATGGTGAAATTGATAAATATAATCTTGGTCACACGTTAACCAAAAGGGTAAAAAACAACACCAAACAGGTAGATATTTTGAGTTTATTGTACACCTCATTTATTTCACCGATTTGAGTTTTTAATTTTAAATTTTTACAGTAAAAAACTCTCAAAAAATATCACATCTAATTTTATTTTACTGTTTTACAACTATTTTTTATTTTATTTTTTTATTTTAAGTCAAAAGAGATAAGAAAATTAGTATCAAGATCAATTACGACATCTCAACTAGATTGACATTCTTAAAATTTAGAGAACCTTGATTTATATATTATAAAACTAAATTATATAGAACCAATATTTATTACATATACATCGTGGCTCTGTTTGTGATTCGTGACAAAATCTTAGAAACTTGAACAATAAAATGTCAAAAATTTACTATTTCCCAGGACTGACAACTCCAGCTAATCTTTCTGTGTCGTCTCTTTCAGACAGCCGAATACACATCCAAGATAACTTTTCACAGCCGTACGTTCCAAAACAAAATATCCAAAAGATGTTAAACTAGAAATATCTCGAATGTGTAACAAAGGTTATATTTTGTTGAAGCTGTAAGGATATTAACTAAGAGAGAATATTACGTACACTAAGTTGTGATGTGAGCGGGTCATAGCCGGTGCCGGCGGAGGCGAAGCTTACTCCGGTCATCAACTCTTTAGTGGTTAGAGTTGGGTCCAAATATGGAGGCACATACTCTTTTAGACCCAAATATGAAGCTGCGCAAAAAAAAAAAAAAAAAAAAAAAAAAAAAAAAAAAAACAAAATCAACCAAAAATTTGAATTTCTCTCTCTGAACTTAGCTAGGGATATAACATCTATGGATTTCCACGCATAAAAATATTGCACGGATAATGTATTTCTACAACATAAATGTACCTAAAAATATCTTTTTCTTTTAGCCAAAGAAATGTAAAAATTATGCAGTAATAATATAACGAGAAATAACATGCTCATTTAGATTCCTTTATGAAAAAGATTGTCCATATATATATATATATATATATATATAGATGCCCGCTTAATATTGTGATTTCGACTTAAAATCTTGTCAAAAAGAACAAATATTCTTACCACTCCAAAAGATGACATGAATAAGTGACTGCACTTACCTATGAAGTCTGAGCTGAGCCGTCCGTTGGAGAACCTTCCGGTTGGTATTCGGTTGGCGAAATCTCTGCCGTAAGGCAGAAAATTGCCCTTGAAAATGGTCTCCACGTAGTTGTTGTTTCCGGGGTCGGAGGTGGAGTCTCCGAACACGAAGATGGCCGAAGCACTAGTAGCACTGTTCTTGTTTTTTGAAGTTTTTATTGGTTTGGAAGGCGTTAGAGCTTGAGCTTGGAAAATTATGCACCATAATAATAGATGAAATATGAGAAAGATTTTGGGTAGCAGTTGAAGGCGTTTATTTGGATGTTCCATGACAGCTCTAAGCAGGGACGAAAATGAGCACGAAAGGGTGTGACTGATTTTTTATTTTTATTTTTCCTGTTGATCATGAATGTGAGAATTATATGCTTTTAAGTTAGACATCTTTCTCACTTATTTTATACATCTTATATATATATTGGCGAAAATACCCATACTTAGTCTGGGAATTTACTTCTATTTTTGTTATTTAAATATAATTTCCATTGGTTGCTGTGGTTTGGAAACCAAACCATTCCTCATTAAACCTAAGATGTTCTTTAGTCTCAACCAACTTTTCCAAGTACAAAACTTGGTTGGAAAAGATTAATATTTCTTAAAGCATTCCCTTGAATATATATGACAAGTGTCGTTCAGTGGTTAAAGGAAAAATTAGGAGATACAAATTGCTGGATGGAGCGTATTGGACTAGATTGGTTTTTATATGTACTAGTTTAATTTCCACGTACGATGCACTTGGGAGTAATTCAGGTGTTAAGTCCGTATTATTATTAAAAGTACATAAAATTTGGATATAAAATCTCAAAAAAGAAAAATATGGAAAAAAATAAAGATTTGAAGGTTAAAAAAGGGGTAAAAAAAACTAAAATGAAAATATAAATAAAATTTAGGGCAAAAAAGACTAAAATGAAAAAATAGTGTTTCGAGTTAAAAATTAAAAAAGGGTCAAAAATAACAAAAATGAAGAAATAAATACGTTTTAGGGTAAAAGAAACTAAAACAAAAATATAAAATCTCATGACAAAAATAAAAGAAGGGTAAAAAAGGACTAAAATTAAGAAATAAATATGTTTTAGGGCAAAAAAAAACCCGAACAAAAAAAAATAATGTTTCAGGGTAAAAATAAAAGAAATGGTAAAAAAAATGATGAAAATAAATAAGTTTTAATACAAAAGGAACCAAAACGAAAAAGAAATAAATTTTTGGGAAAAATTTTAAAAAAAGGATAAAAAGGATCAAAATGAAGAAAAAAATAAGTTTTAGGATAAAAGCAGAGAAATAATAAAAGGAAGGACTTGAAAAAAAAAAGAAAAAAAAAAGAGAAAAGGGCGTGGCATTTTGACCAAAACGTCACCGGTTTGGTGTCGAAATCCCGGTTTTTCCGGTAGGTACCCGTATTCATAAGTAAGATTGTCATCCTTACACTCAGGATGAGAGCCGGCCCTTACTTAAGGCCAATTAGGCAATTGCCTAAGGCCCCCATATAAGTAATACTCCTAATTAATTATAGCTATTTATTATGATCATTTTGCAATAAAATAAAAAAAGGACAAATCAATATTGTGAAGATAATTTTCTTTTTGAAGGATGAGATTTTGGGTTATTATACACACAAATAGTCTTATTTAGAGGAGAATATCAATATTGAAATTTTACAATAATTTCAAACACTACCAACAATTTTATGTTTCAACACCTTAAACATCTTCTATATATGTGTGCGCGCGCGCAGATTACTATATATAAAATATTGCATATGTTATACATCAACTGGTTATATTAGCTTTAATTATAAATACATATTATATTTATCTAATTTTTATATCTAATCTCTCTTGAGTCTTATTTCTAACTTTACTTATTTTCCTACACACTCATTAACCTAATTTTAAGAGTTTTTCAAGTTGGTATATTTCTTGCATACTTTTTTCTTGCCAATTTATTGATTATTATTGTTTGGGATTTACAATAGCTATTTGTTGGATAAATTTTGTTGAAATTTTTTTTTTTAGATAAGTTTGAATATAAAGAGTTAATTGCTGAGACGAAAATCATACTTTTTTCTTGCCAATTTATTGATTATTATTGTTTGGGATTTACAATAGCTATTTGTTGGATAAATTTTGTTGAAAATTTTTTTTTAGATAAGTTTGAATATAAAGAGTTAATTGCTGAGACGAAAAGTAAATTTAAAATAGATTTAATTGATTCTTAGTATATTAATTTTTTTTCTTTAATATGAAAAAAGGCCCTTTTTAAAACTTATACCTAAGGCTCAAATTTGCTCAAGCCGGCCCTGTTCAGGATGTCAAAAACTTCAAGCAAGCTCTGCTATAATTAAAACATGCCCTAATCGTTTGATACTACTGGGAAGATTCGATTACATTTATGTAAAGAAAATATGATCAGTTTTGAGCATTATGATGCCGAAGTTATAAATCAAATCAATCACATACATGGTCAATATGAACACTGGAATATTCATACTGTCAAGTGTGAACAAAAAAATCCCACTTGATGTCTGAGCTTCATCTGTATAATAGACTAATTAATGCCCAATCCATTCATATATGATATAAATCAAATCAGTGACAAATCTCATCTGTATAATAGACTAATTAATGCCCAATCCATTCATATATGATATAAATCAAATCAATCACATTTGTCACGTATAATAATGGGGATCTTAGTGGAGTAATTAATTAAATAGCCGAAGTTATTGCTGTAGCTTGCCCTTGCCCTTTTTTCTGCACTACCTTAATTCATATCTTCGGTTATAAGGTCGGAATTTGTTTAGGAAATTTTACTCGTATGATTACACTATATATATACTTTTTCTCATATACTTACACCATATACATACATATAGGTGTAGTTTTAATAGTTTCTATAATATTTATCTATTAATAGGTATTATTATTTTAACGATAAGATATTCATCGACGGTTATAATAAGTTGAATACTTGACTAAAAAAATTAATGACAATTATTAAAATTGAACTCTTATCACGATACGTCATCAAATTTTTATATTAGAGGTGACCACCAATATAAATGTAACCATCGATAATCATCAGTCATATGCTTCTTGCCAACTCAAGCGCCTCCGTTGTAGAATGAGTTCGGCCACTATGAAACAAGAAATTCCTAGAGGACCAAATTGCCTGGGCAATAACACAGAAGATCAGCAAATTGCTCTCATCCGCAACCCGGCACCATTCCACACACAGCCCTTCAAAAGTCTAGCCTTTCAACATCCCAATCTAAGGCCAAAGACTACAAGACTGCCAACTAGACTACATTTTTTGAGCACATCGGACACAAACTTCACGTAAAGTTTTTGACCTTGTTAGGGATTCTAAGACCCCATAACTTAGTCCACCAACTTTTATCCCCACTGTCACCCAAACTCCTTTCTTCGGATAGAGAACTCATCACCAACTTATACCCTGATCGTACCGAATATGACCCCTTAGAATCAAAGTGTCAAACAAGCCAATCCTAGGAATACCCTGCCTTCATGTCAGTCTTCAACCCACACCATTTCTCTTAACAAATTCGCATCACTCAAGGCCCCATTGGCCCCATTTCTCTTAACAAATTTGCATAACTCAAGGCCCCATTTCTTGGTGGCAATCGCAGTATGTCAGCCTGACCCCGGTCCAAACGTATCGTCCTCACCCCGATCTCGGTTCTTGTCTGACCTTGACACCTGTCCCAAGACATCTATGACGTTGTTCCCAACCTATTAGCTTGACCATGTTGCCGGTCTTGACTGATTGGAGACCTGAGCTTTTGTTGTGACTGTAACCTAAAATTTATGTCTAAAAAAAAATTAAAAACAAGAAACACTTTGCCCTGTTTGATAATGTTTTTATTTTTGTTTTTTAATAAAAATAAAAAAAAATATTTTCTCGCGTTTGTATTTTTTGATTTCTGTTTAAATGTTTAGAAAACCACTTCTTTTTTTTTTTTTTTTTTTCGTTTTATAGTTATTGGTTACTACGATTTTTTTTCTACATAAAGACAAGAAAAAATCGCGAATTGATAGGCCAGGCCAACGCCTAGGTTGGATTGATGAGCCATGACTGTTGTCGAGGTATGGTCGACGAGCACTAGGTCGGCCTGACGGTCAGGAGTGTCGATGATCGGGCCGATGAGATCAGACCGATAATTACTTAGATTATAGGCCTTTTCAAAAAAAAAAAAAACCTTAGATTATATACCTTTTTTATCCCTCTTGCCAAACCTCTGAGACGACGTTGCTACCGAAGAGCTTTGTCAGTTGATCTTTGACGCACCATATATTCTAGGCCTACCAAAATGGGTCTTGACTTGGGAACGGACCCTCCCACAGTCGGACGATCAGAACTTTCGAAATTGATTGCAGATAAGTGCTAGACAAATTAAATTGGATAAAGAATTTGCTTCCACCTTAATGCTCCTCAGCTAACAAAGAGACAAAGTGATAGACCGCAACATTTCACTACCAAATTAATTAAGGCTTATTTATTTAACGTGTTTGAACTCATAATTATGATTACGATTCCATTACAGTTCTTTCTTCTCATAAAAATTGTGAACAAAAAAAGTTTATGCTAATGAATTCTTTCATAAAATTTGAATTCAGAATTAAGAATCACCGAATTGAACGTGTGAACTAAACGGGCTATTAGTTTTCCAAGCTTTTAGCCTTGGACTTCATAACACAGTAGTAGTAGGTGCATCTTTAACCTCTTGTAAGTGCTAGCGATTCTTACCAAACTCCTCCAACTTGCAAACGTATGAGCATATTTAGTTACTAATGGACGCAAACGATTAGTCAAACTCTTTGGCTAATTACACACGTCCTACTCAAATTCAAGCCCACCAATGGTTTCAATTTCTTTGATACATATAATTAGCACATTTCCAATTCATTGAACTCAGATAATCGCCACTTCGGTATATTACTGAATATTATCCCTTGATTTTTGGCACACCACATAAAGCCCCCAATTTTTTTAATGGTCAAGCGTGTGACTTTTTATTTTTATTTTTTATATATATTCTTAGCCAAGTAATCAACCTTTTTTTTCCTTGGTCGATCAAGGTGGCTATACTTGCGCCTCAAGTAAGTGCCAGCCTTATTGTTGCCGTGCAAACGCTCGAATTATATAAGAGGGTTAGTTTCTACGTTAACTTTTTGGTTTTTCAGGTTTCTTTTCTGGAAGAGGCATAAAATTGGAACAGCCTTGTATTTCAGATAGCTTCTTAATGCACATGTTACTATGCTGAGAAAAAAAAACATAAAAACAAGTTTTTATTTTTATTTTTTATTTTTTTTAAATTACAAACATCCCAACCATGATAAAATACTATAAACTTGTGACCATACTCACTTGAATCAGTATTGGAATAGTATTGGTCCTTAGCAGGGTATGGCTATAAGTTTATTGGTCTCTGTCTATTTGGGATGATGAACAGGACCATTATCAATGATTAATCTGGCTAACTTAAAGACTGCATTTGGTTCAAAATAACTATTGGATATAAAACAATTGAAAGCAAATGTGAGAACTTTCAAGCAAAAAAGTACATATAGAGCTATATTATTTATTTTTGTTCTGTTTCCCACAAGTACTAACGTTATGGTTTTCGTGGTGTTGAATCCCAATTCAGATTTCAGTTGCATGAGTAAAACTAATTCGTGGTTTTATTGTAATACAAGACCTGAAAAGAGCTGGCAGGGAAAGGAATGTCTGGAAAGTGTAACACCTCTTAAACTTTGATTAAGACTAGCAATCTTTGTTGGGAACCAGGAGAGTATTTGTGGAGTAATTTAAGAACTACGTTGTTTAAGGAATGTATCTCTCAATAAATTAAATTAAAATAACTGTGAAGTTGTTAGTCATTTTCCCTTTATTTTCCAGATGTACACATAATCATTATGCTTCCTATCAACTTCACTTCTTCTTCTTTTCTTTTTTTTTTTTTTTTTTTTTTTTTTTTTTTTTTTTTTTTTTTCATTTTTGCGGCTAACTAGCTTCAATAATGGTTAAAAATGACTAAACCCAACGAAACCCTTATCTGGAATCAAACCCCCTTTAATTCCTTATTAACATTCCCACACAACCCAACACACAATAAAATAAAATAAAATAAAATAAAATAATCTTCCTAGAAATTAGATGTCACACTAAGAAAAATACAATAAGGGGGCGTTTGGTAGAGGGATTCGTTCCCTGATTCGAATCATGATTCGTGGTTCGCTACAGTATTTTCTCTCATAAAAAATACACGTAAATTGAAAATAATTCGAATCACATGATTTGAATCCTCTAACTAAACGAACCCTAAGAATTTCATAATGCAATTTAATGCTCAATTCGAAAAAAACAAACCTGATCAGATATTGTGACAAGGATAGGTACAAAAAGTGGCAAAATAATTTGTAACCAAAGCATAAGCAACATTAATTTAAAAAAAAAAAAAAGTCAATACGTTTATTCCAAGCCAGCTTTCAATCCTTCTCCTACTCAGTTTCTTGTGTAATTAATCATGAATTATAGGCGCGTTTACCAATTAAAAAATTGGAAGTACAGAGAATCAACATTGAGAAAACCGCAGAAATTATTAGAAGAAGCACACAAGTCAATATGGGATATCATAAACTTATCCACCTCTCCTCTAAGTTCTTGAATCCTAATTTCCTCCGTGAATTCCGCTGCTAACTTGAAACACAAGTTTCCATTCATAAAAAAGCAAATCCAAGCTGCTCAAAATACGCGTTTGATCAGATTTTCATATCTCTCAGCTCTCAAACTAATTCCCTCTAATTCCGTATATAATTTCAAAGAATAATTGTATTAGTTTGAGAGCTTGATCTAGTTTTTATGACAACCAAAACAATGGCAGTTCATAGAGATCAGCATCACCAATCGGAAGGTATTCTTGAGAATGTTTGGGCAAGCTTTATTAGTGGAGAAGTAGTGAATGAAGATATTATAAGCAATAACACATCAGAAATGTTCTCCAAAACGCGGGAGGAATTGCCTCCCCTTGATGGTGGAGATGGATCAGCGGCGATGTTACGACGGTTACCGAGCCTTGGGAGGTGGATATCGATGGGAGCTGAGACTTGGGAAGAGCTTCTTGACAGTATAATTCTTCCTAATCAAAGCAATGTGGGGCATGATGAGCAGTCTTGCAAAGGCAATTCAGCCGATCAAGGCAAGGAAGCAGACCCCGAGAGAGCAAAGAAGGTGGTGACAAAGCACTACCGGGGGGTGAGGAGGCGGCCGTGGGGTAAGTACGCAGCAGAAATACGAGACTCGTCGAGGAATGGGGCTCGAGTTTGGCTCGGGACATTTGACACGGCAGAGGAAGCAGCCTTGGCTTATGACAAGGCCGCCTTGAGAATCAGGGGCCCCAAGGCTTACCTAAACTTCCCTCTTGAGACGGTTGCTAAGGCTGTGGGACAAGATGGCTCGGGATTCAATTCGAATTGTTCATCGACAGCCACTTACGGAAATCGTGACTTGATTGCTTCTAATCCAAGAAAAAGAGGTTCAAGAGAGTGGGAAGAAAATGGCATGGTAATGACTGAACAGCCTGCAGTGAGAAGAAAGGCAAGTGTGGAAAACATGTTTGAGAACAATTATGTTGATGTTTTTGAGTTTGAGGATTTGGGGAGTGACTTCTTGGATAGTTTGTTGTCTACCTTATGATTGATTATATCTGTGAAAATTGTGACTTGCCCTGCAAAAAGCATGAAGAGAGGAAGGGAATACACTATTTTTTTTTTTTTTTTTTGGTAAAGATGGGAATACACTATTGATTCAAGTGTCATACACAAAATTGTGTTCATGTTTGAGAGTCCAATTAGGTAATACTTAATTCGTTGGTGTGCAAATTTCTTGTAGTTTCTAGTCACACATTCTATCAAGAGGCCTAGAGGCTTTGTTCCTCATAGAATATTAATTAGTGTTAAAAACGAAAAGTTATTCAGCAGAAAACACATGTACTAATTATCGCTAATTTGTTATATATTTAGAAGCATATCCAAATTATAAAAGGTTGTTAGATATGACCGTTTGGATAATTCATATTTATAAAGTTACCATTTATCGATATATATATATATATATATATATTTTGTTAGGACTTTAGTTGGCAATTTGTTGCCATTTGATGTAAAAATTTAAAAATATGTATTTTTGGCAACTGGCGTTTATGGAGAAGATCAGAGGTGATTTTAGTTGCTTGATTGCTCTGAATATGGAATGTTTTTGTTGATGCAAATCAGATTTTGGCAAGGTAATTTCAAAGAATAATTGGGAGAGTTATTTGAGAAAAGAATATTCGATTGATTTTGTGATAGGTTGTTTCTAGTAACATGAAAGTCATGGGGCTGATTGTAGTTTTTGGATGAATTATTTTTGAAAAAATGTGTACTGCTTAGTGGGTGTGTGAATTGTATTTTGGGTATGTGAGAATTGTTTATTGGAAACTTACCTTGCATGAGAGCTAGAGGTTTTTGTTGGCGTGAGAAGCTGATTGATTGCGTGAAGCTAATCTTGTGGAGATATATGATTTAAGCATAAAATCATATTGATGTGATCTTCACGTACTTCACAAAGGTAGGCACATGAGCAACTTTGCTATATATACATAAGTGGTGTACGTGAGTGGTGTAGCCTATAAAAAAATATTGGGTAATTAAAAGATACATTTGGGGCATGGTTTTTATAGAATAAATATTTAGAAAACGTCTATGTGAGAGTGAGTCTTTAAGTGTTGATTGAAGATCATCCTTCGAAGAAGGATTAGAAGCTTTTGGGAAAAACACATTGCCAGCCGAAAGGATTTCGCCGTGCAGTTTGAATATGAATGGTACTCGCTAGACAAGGTCATTAAGGAGATTCGACATGGCGGCAACAACGTCGAGGAGGGAGTCTTTGGGTGTCTAAGTCTGATTGGTGTTTGTAATCCTTTGATCTTAGTGAATTGTTCACTGTCTGGGCGTGACCCCGCAGATGTAGGTGTGCGCGCCGAACTGCGATATCAATTCCTTGTGTCTTTTATGTTTTTGTTAATCTTTCTGCACTTATAATTTGTTGTTGTTGAATCAAAGAAAAAATATATCCATCTGCATGTATTTGTCATCAGTGTTACAAAAAATGTTATAACACTCTTAGTGACACCTGGTTAAAAACAGGCCTTACATAGTGTTGAAACTTTGGGCCGGCTGGCCGGCCCGAGGCCCGAATTTTTTGGACTCTCACAATCCCTCTCAATTTCTCTCAATCTCTCTCAATATCTCAAATTTCTCTCACAATTTTTCCAAAAACTATCACAATATCCTAAAGCTTTCTCTTTCAAATCGCTCTTATTTTTTTATAATGGATTCTTTTGGTTACAGTGGTATTCCCATTGATGCTCAACATAACGTGGAAGAATGACAATTTCCCACTAATGAATTTGTTACGCAGGAATCTGCTAATCCGAGCCCTGGCGGATGTACTGGAGTTCGTGGTCGCAATGGTGGTGGGCGTGGAGAAGCGGCGAGTGCAAGTGTGACTGCGTCTGCAAGTGTTACAACCTCCAAGAGGAAATGAAAGCGCACCTCGACAGTTTGGGATCACTTCAATTGAGGAGATCGACAATGAAGGTAATACTAAACATATAGCTCAGTGTAAATATTGTTTATCTAAATTACAAGGTGACACTATTCACAGCACCACACACATGAGAAGGCACTCTAAAAAGTGTCTTCAAAAGCTTAGCCAGTCTGGTGGACCCGAACTCTGCCAAACATAATTATCTTTTGATCGCGCAACCGGTGGTCTAACCACTTAGAAATACGATCCGCAAGTAGATCGTATAGAAGTTGCGCGAATGATAGCTGCATTAGATCAACCACTTAGTTTTGTAGAGCATCCTAATTGGCAACGATATACTAAAGTTGTACATAATCCTAATGCACAGTTCACTTCAAAAACTACTCTTAGGAAAAATTTATTAAAATTATTTAAAAAAGAAAAAGAAGCATTAATAAACCTTTTACACTCGACTAGCAGATGCGTTGCGTTAATGACAAATATTTAGTTTGCCGTTGTCAATAAAGATTATTTAGCTGTAACCGGACATTACTTTAAAGGATTTGATTTAGATAAGAGAATATTAGGTTTTAAATGTGTTTTAGGATCACATAGCACGGATTTAATATATAATATAATTTTAAAGTGATTGATGAATTTAGATTAAGAGATAAAGTAATGGCTATAACATTAGATAATG